AGAAACCATCTACCTCCCGTATAGGCTTAAGGTGCACACGACACAAGCACTCGGATATGCAATGCAAGATGATGTACTTATGTGTTGTAAGCCTTTTTTTTTTCTTCTAAAAAAGAACGGCTAGTTTACCCCATCCTCAGAAGATACACATAAACACATATTATCAAGTTCAGAGTATCAAGCATGCATACATATTCATCTACAAAATACAACCGGATTCACTCATTACAATGACAATTAATTTCAAATGGAGTTTCAATTCACTCATTTCAGCGACGGTTAATTCCAAACATGGGGAGTAGTATCACTCATGTAACTAGATAAATAAAGCTGAAAGCTCGAAGCAACCAGGCTCCAACAAGATATAAAATAACTTAATCACATATTCCATAGGTGGATCTCCAAACTGTTGCGCCCAAAGTTCATGGATCCTCTGTCCTCCATACAAATGCTATTTAAGCTACGCAAACAACTTAATAGTACATATGCGGAAGATCAATATAAGTCTGCGGCACACGGGAGCGCGTGCTCCTGGTTTTTAAAATATGTTATAAACGTATTTTGAAATGTTAAAAAATTTCAAACAAAAATTTAGCGCGTACATCTCGATATTGTACATGCTCACAAAATCGTTTCGCGAAAAACCGGCAAGTTATGTGTAACGTGTAAAGAAAAACAAAATCTGATGTTAAAAAGTGCTTTTCACAAGACATATTTTTGTATTTTTTACACAAGCCACAGAAAATGACGATTTTCTTCAAAACTTGACATGCACAGATATAATGTCAAGATGTATGCACCAAATTTTTGTCTCGGATTTTTCCACACTTTGAAGTATTTTTTCTGGTGGCAGGAGCGCGCGCTCCACTCCCGTGTGCCAAAGCGAATTTCTGCGCAATAGTATATATAAGTTGACCGAATTTGTAATTTTCATAAGTCAATTTTAAGGGAGAAGGAACGGTTAAAGAAGGGGGGAAACAGGAGTAAGAAGAAAGAAAGAAAGACAATATATAAGTCTTACTGTGTTGACAAAATTCCAAACAACTGAATAAAATCGCTCTTTACGTGCCAACGCAAGTATACAATGATGTAGTGATGTGAGCTTCATATGGAGAAATTGACATGACAAAGGAAATACTAGTTAGCTAACTAGGGTTGATCAATCCTGAGTTCCAAATCCCATTACTGAAATTACATATATATGTTGATGTATTGTAAGTATATTTGTATATATCATCCTATGCCCTAGAATCAAAGTGGAAACTAATTAGCCACATGTAAAAATGGCAAGTAGTCGTCAAACATACATACTCCGTCGTATGATCAAATTGTCAACAATTAATCATCAGTCAAGATAATCTGAATCCTCCGGATCAAATATTATGTCGTTAAGTGTTCTTGGAGGAGCTCGAATTGGCTGCCGGCGGCGGCGTCATTGTCTGGCCGTGGAAGAGCTGTGGCGCCGTGGACGGCAGCAAGCTGCTCCACAGGTTCCAGTCGATCGTCCCAGCAGCAGCCGCCAGCTGCTGATCCGCACTGCTACACCCACCGCTGATCTGCGAGATGTCGCCCTCGCCCTCGCCGTCGAAGGTCGGGCTCTGGAGTGGCGGCGGCAGGTCGGAGGGGAACAGCTGCACCTGCTGCTTGGACTCCGCCGCCAGAACATGCTGATCATGTGGCGGACCCCCGCCGGCGACCATCAGGCGCGCGTTAGGGTTGTCGTAGTAGTAGTAATTGGAGGCGGAGCTGTAGCTGCCGTTCATCGTCGGGTACCCGCCGCCGCCGTAGGACAGCCTGTGCTGCTGGCTGGGCACCGGCTTCACGAACGCGCGGCACACCACCCACCCTTCCTCCTGAACGATCAAATCAGCCCACAAAATTAATTAGCACTGCAATTGAACAACAAAATTCGTTGCATGCATGCATGGAGATGAATCTTGAATCTGCATGGATGGAGATTTGCATGCCTGTGTGGGCGCGTGCTCGTTGGACTGGAGGCGGTACTCATGGATGATCCAGTCGGTCTTGCGGCCGTTGGGGGCGCGGCCGCGGTAGAAGACAAGCGTCTTTCTCATGCCGATCACGGCCGCGGGAGACGACGAGGACGAGGAGAGCACCGGCTTGTCCCTCCCGGTGGCCTTCCAGAAGCCGGCGGCCGTGGCGCGGTTGGTGCGCGTGCCGCTGGGGTACTTGCGGTCCTTGTAGCTAAAGAAGTAGTACTCCGTCGTCGGATCTTCCTGCCCTCCTCCGCCGCCGCCGTACTTGCCGCACCTCTCTGCCATCAACCAACACACACAGCTCGGTCAGCCTCCATTAACCGCTGCAAAAGCAAACCATCGAGCTCTACAGGATCGGCGATCGAAGTGGCGAACGAATTACGTACCTTGAAGATCCCACGGCTCGATCCGGTAGAGGTCGACCTCCTGGATGATGTCGAGGTCGATCTTGTGGGAGGAGACCTTCCGGGCGAGGTAGTAGCCGACGAGCTCCTCCTCCGTGGGGTGGAACCTGAACCCCGGGGGCACCGTGTTGCAAGAGGACTCCTCCATTGCCAGACCACCCCGATCCCTCGATCAGACGACGATGCTAGCGCTCTGCTCTAGAACATGCAAAAGCTAGCGGGTTCAGGTCTGAGCGAGCATGTGCATGTGTATCTGAATGGGCCAGGCAGGGAGAGAAAAGGTCCTAGAAATAGGGAGGCATGCACTGCACTCCTCATGCAATGGGATTTAGGATGGCATAGCACGCCGACCTAATTAGTTGTTGCACCACACCTAAAGGAGTCGTACCCGTACATACAATACAATACAATACAGACAGACAGACATCATTCTTTTAGGAGAAAAATCTAGGTACTGGCTATCTAGACAATCCGTGTATTGTACAGTACTGTACCACCTAATAGCTACTATTTCGGTTTCGGACATGAGACATGGACTGGTCAGTTAATTAGGACGGCAGGCTCGATCAGCTTGTGCCATACCAAAGCAGGAACGGAATTTAGTGCAAATCCAAAGTGGTACTAGTTTTTGGACGGTGTGTGTAGTGAAGTGAAGCTTTTTGGAAGGTAGAGAGAGGGTCTCCTATAGCTAGCTAGCTTGGAGTGCACTTCAGGGCTGATCTCACTCACATCCACCATCCAGATATACTAGCAGATAGTACTGACCCTTCTCTGTCACCTACAGCCTTCAGGACCTCCCACATAACATAATACCTGTACCAATAAAAAGGGACTATGTATGGCTGCCATGCATACACCGCAGGTTGATGGATCGGACATGAGATATGAGATATGATTATGACAGATGTTGCAACAAACGATCAGATCATGACTATAACAAAACAAAGGCATGTTTTGTACTTATTGGATATATATATTTAAGCTCGTCGAATTAAGATACTCGTTGATGCTTGGCCTGGTTGCTGGAGGAGCTTTTAAAAAAAAATGAACTAGAGGAGCTTGTGAGAGACAGATGTGGTCAAGAACTTGAACCTGATGTAAACATGAGGTCCGCATGTTACAGGCACGCGTGGAGCGGAGATCTGCAACTTGCAGCTACAGCGCGTGTAGAATCTATCTATCTATCTAAAGAGAGACAGAGATCGATGGAGAGAGAGAAGCTTGCTTAGTCGGTTAATAAGTCGTCAACAAGCGACCACCCCCACCATCATTGTGAAAGGGACGCACATTTTTCCCAGTTGAGAGTTGAGCAAATTTGAGTGTACATATATATGTGCAAGCAATTACCTTTTCCCGAAAAGGAAGGGGGTTGTGTTCTAACCCAAGCCACCCCCGCTCTCCCCTCATCACCATCCTACCTATTGCCCCGATTTTTCTTGGGCCGTGGTGTTGCAAGGGTCGTGCCAACTTTGGGGATCTATGGGTTGTGCCGTCCTCGGCATTGTAATATATTTGTGCTTAATGAATTACAGTTTTGCTAAAGCACATCTAGATGTGATGTGCCATAAGTATTGCATATCTAAGTCATATGTCATTGATTTTACATTAAGATTCGTGTGAATATTTTCTTTTTTTTTCTTTTTCTTTTTATACTTGATTCACTCACTTAGATGTGCAATAACTAAAGCACATCTAGATGTGCCCTAGACACACCCAAATGAATTACATGCATCTCCCGCGCTCTCGTTCATGGTTTGAAAAAAGAGAGATAAGGGAGTGCGCTTGGCCTCTACAACCGTTTTTATTGAAATTGTTTATTACGAAATATCAAAGTCATGCAGTTACTATTTGTTTTCTTTTTCCTTCTCTATCTATATTGGAAAGCTAGGGAGCGAACGTTTCGATTTTGTGCTCAGGGCGCGATGTTTTATAGGGAGGAGATGAGCAGTGGATAAGTAGGCAAGGAAAAGGAAGGGTCTGACAAATAAGGTGGAGGGTCAATAGCGATGCCAACGTCGCAGAGCTTGATCAGGAGACAACGGTAGATCAAAGGAGAAAGACAGAAGGGGGGAGGGGAGCACAAGGGACGAGGAAAGGAGGGGTTCATGAATGGACTCCACGCAACATCAACTCAAACCAAATCACTATATATGTCCCAACCAAACTGCCGTCTCAAGTAACTGAAAAAAACTAAAACAATCAGAGAACAAATGAAACCGAGGTATTGGAGAGCTAGACCATCAATCAAAATCAAGGACCAATTAACCTGCAGTCATCCAAATAACATTCATCCAAAGCAATGCATATACGATGAACTTGGCTCCTGCAGCCATCCAAATAACATTCAGAGCTCCCTACACAAACATATCCCTTAAATTTGACGAACAGCAGCTAATACATGTGTAAAACCGTGTGCTTCGGTACCAGAGACGAAAAGCTAGACCATCAATCAAAATCGAGGACTAATTAATCTTACACTTTACTGTTCCAATCAAACTTCTCCGTTAGATCAGCAGCTTAATCGCCTACCGCACAACAGATCCGCAGTTCAAGGGCATGTCAGCAGCATCACTCCTGCTTGCTGCGGGCCTCACGAGCGCGGTGCTTGAGCTCGGCCCTTTTCCACCTTACCATCAGCATGCAGAGTGTCACAAGGGTGTTCACCTGCAGAACAAGCGCACAGCAAACGCACAGGAGGCAGTTGCGCATAAGCAAAGCGGAAGGGGATGCAGACTGACACCAGTGAATGAGACAGCAGGCGATGCGCTTACCAGAATAAGTATCGTAATCAGAAGCAGGGGGCCAGACCACATGACCGAGATGAAGAGGCCTTGGGGATCAAAGTAATTCTGGCTTGAGAAGCTCTTCCAGTTTTGTCCTAGGAACGTGTTTAGTTTCTCGGCAAGGAATACACCAGAAACTGCAATGAGTCGAGTACATCAGGTAAGCAAAGGGGGTAATCTAGCGTATTACAAAAGCTATTGCTTTGCTGGCGCTTTGCCTGTAAATCCCGACTTGCATCGGAATGGAAAGAGGAAACATTATCTCTCAATGTCAAGGTTACATTTACTAATTACTTGTTGAAATATTCAAACTACTTGTGTGGTTAAATTTTACACCAATGTAAAATAACAGGCACAATAGCAAAGAAGGTGAAGGTCTTCTCATCTCACGTACAGTACACATTTAGAAACCGGAGAGAAAAACGCTACACTGAAACCTCGCTGACATGATTAAACCAACATTTATGAAGAAGTTGGAAGTTGCCAGTGCCGCTGCAAATTAGATAAGCTTTACAGAGTTGACATGTGCAGTGTGATTATTTTGACGGTTTCAAGGCGACACAATACATAAAACTGCTAAGCTCAGCAATCATAAAAAAATATCGATACTTTATGGTCGGTATAGCATGACATTCGGAACTAGTATGACATGAATGATGTACACATTCTACAAACACTAGCTAACGGTACTAGGAGTCTGAAGGCCAAATAAATGAACAATGATAGGAAAGTAATACTCACATGTTAAGGCTGACAAGATAAGTTGGAAATTGATGTTCCTCCTGGAGATGATGGTTACCAGTAGCAGAATGGCATGGAAACTTATCATGCCGATCAACCAAGGTTCCTGAAGACACAGATGGAGCAGATTAGTCAAGGTAAGAACAGGGACGACGATTACTCATCAGATGAGGCGAAGTTGATTATTTTTACACAATAAAACATGAACCGACATGCAGCGGTCGATTCAAGAAAACAATGGTATATGACTACACAGAACTACAGAAGTACTAGTTACTGAGTATCATGTGGTAAACCATCAACATGGAAGCTCCAAAATTGGAGTAATCACAAGCGGCATTATGTAACTTGCACCCTGTTGCGGACTTCATTCTTAGATGCACAGCGGTGTTGTTCCATTGATTTACTAGTTCACAGGAATGAGGAGGCAGTGGAATCGCGCGGAGATGAACCACATGAAATTGTTCGTCCTGCATAGCATAACTACCCAGACAATCGCTGCCTCTCAAGAGAGATCCAGGCGAGGCCGGCGGTGAAAAATCACAGCGTCCGTTGGATTTAGTCGGCAACGAGCACACTGACGTCGGCGGTTGCGGCAGCGGCTTCTGCTTCCCGGTGGACTAAATCCTAGGGTCAAGCGAGCGAAGCAGGGGGTGAGGGAGAAAAGACGCACCTTCCAGTCGACGGCGTGGAAGAAGCCGACGAAAGTGTCGACGGCGGGGCCGAACCCGCCGCGGAGCTCGGTGGAGACGCGGCCGAAGAGCTCCGCCACCACGTCGGCGTGCTCGTTCAGCGCCGAACGCACCTCCTCGACCGCTCGCCCAACCGCCGCCGCCGCCGGTGAGGAGGAGGACGCCGCCATCTCGTCTCGTGATCTGATCTCCTCCTGCACTGCTCTCCTCCTTTCTCTGCAAGAGACGCAAAGGCAAAAGGCCGTTCCCTCTGCTAATTCGGGACCACACGTCAGTGACTTTAAACGCTGGAAACACTTGGGCCGAGTTCTTCCTTAACTGGGCTGGGCTTGTTTAAGCATCTCGTGCCCATTCTGCTTGCACCTCGTTTGATTTCCTTCCCTCAAAAAAGAAACCTCGTTTGATTTCCAATAATCGAATATGATTCAATCAATTTCATTCAAAATATAATTCCACTAGAATTTCAACTTTAAAATTAAAAATAAATATTATATGTAATACTATATTTTTATTGATGTTGCAAAAATACAAACTAGTTAATTTGTAAAATTTTGGTATCTAGAATTTTAATCCCTTGTACACAATTTAAAAAGTTGCTCCAAACTAGTTGGAACTTGACCAGCATTATCCACGTGGAAAGGAGGTACATTGATCTTATTTGGAGACCGAACCATGCCAGAGTGTCTCGGCAAGCTATGTACTCATTGGATCCAGTTTGTGCTCCACTGAGGAGGAGAGGATGACGAGCACGTGTGGGCACCAATGCGCCCTTTGATTTCGCCAATGCCACCGGGCTGGGAGCGTCCTCTAGCGGCAACAGCGACGCAGGGGTTGGGCGGATGTGGAAGGCCGCCGAGCAGCGACGAGGGGTGCGGCTTGATGGCGAACCACGTGCGGACGGGCAACACCGCTGGCGAGGGCGTTGTCCAAGCTGTTAAAACTGCAAGTGTTTTCGCAATGGGGGAGAAAAGTGTGAAGGAGGCGTTTCGGTCGCGATAAGGATAGCGGTGAAGTGGCGCCCCATGCAAATGTGTGGCAATCGCTCAACTCGATGGACGCAACCTGATTATCAGTCGATTGAAGCCAATTATTTTTCTTTTCGTAAACTTTTGGTTTCACATCCAGACCATAAAAATCTAAAAATTCGAGGTATGGCATGGGACACGTCCAACATATGCGTAGGTCTGATAAGTGTGTGAGAGTGAGACTCGTGAACTAATTTTTTTCCAAATTTTTACAATAGGAATCTGTTTAGACTTCGTTCGATGTAGACACTGTGCTCAAGGAACTGGAGTGGGGTCCATTACCAAATCAATCATGATATTGAAGTGGGCTTCAATTCGAATTAGTCTGCTTGTTTCCATGGCATGTGAAACTATAAATTGAACCGGAAACAAATATCATTTCCAAGGAATGTAATGTCACTCCTCTTGCCTTTGGTGCATTCTTCCTTTTAGGGCCAGATGTTTGCCCAACATGAAGCAAAGGAGAATTGGTATTGTCTAAGTCATAATGTGGAGCTACTTGACCATCATGAATGTGTTCTAAAAGATGCATCACAATGAAACAACCAAGGTAGTCAGATTACGGACTCAACTCATAGAATCCTATGATGTCACGACTCTACAGAAGCATGTCGATCCGAGACCCACTATGAATCTGGATCAGGTAGAATCTATGTTGAGTCGTGATCCAAATCATAGAATCCCGTACAAAATTGCAGAATCCCAATTATGCTATGGACTATGTCCGATGCTACTAATTTATCTAAGTCATTTTTAAATTCTAGCAGAATAGTATGCCATGATCCAAACCATTTTTCACATGCCTCATGGCCCTTTATTCCCCTCCCAAGCCCAAATAGACCGAAACTAAGAATTGACGTGACGCCAAGGTTGATTGTAGAAGAAAAGCAAGACTCTTGAAGTTTAAGTACTGCGGGTTAGCTATACAAGTGATCGGCTATTCATAAACTCTAAAAAAAACCTTTTAAGTAAATTTCATGCATTGAAGATTTAAATTTTCTATATATTTCATCTCATGTGTGTTACATACATGCAAGCTAGATAGTAGGTTAGCCATGAAAAGAAGTGGAATACAACTACCATTGATGTGTACGGTTTTTGCTCTACATTCGGTGTTAAGAATCTATAGAATACATATAAATTTTTGGTGTAGGTATAAAATATTTTACTATTTGAGTATTTCTAGTAGACTCCTCAGTTCCACAACTTGATACTACGAATCGATTTTGTCTAAGGAAAAACGGCCCGACTCCGAATCCTAACCCTGACTACCTTGGAAACAACCATCCTAAAATTGATCTAAAAATGCACATGAAAAAAATGTGTATCTAGGTCCGAAATTTCATCAAACATGACGAGGGCATGTCCAGTGTTGGCGATTCCTGACATTCTCCGTGACCGTTGGAGTTGTGGTGACTCGTAAGTCGTGTCCTCGACGTCGTCCTCCTGGCCTCTTTCGTCCGTGTTCGGACATCAGACATGCCCAACCATTATGTGGCCGAAACGATGTCGGGTACAATCATGAACGAGTGTAGGTACCTTCTCGCCGGCGAGGCAGATGACATATGCAGCAAAGCCGAGGTCTATGGCCTCCTTCAACGCAACTCCCTTCACTGCTACTATGCGGATGCTTTGCTCCCTTCGGGCAATGGTCTCCGCCTTTCTCACGAGGATTGGGGCCCCCACGAACTCCGTCGAGCCATCGTCCATGGCGGTGGTGTTAGTCGTCGACATTTGGCACGGGGGTGAAAACGCGGAGCAAGGGTGAAAGAGGGTAACAACTCGAAGGTTGGAAAGGAAGGACGAACACGGGAGGGCAGTGGATTTGATGGGCCTTATCATTTTGGAGGAACTTGAAGTATGTCTAGCCTATCGGGTACGGCATGATGATAACTTCTATGACGGTCACAAATCCACCTCACATATGAACCGCGTTTGAGGATGCTGGACAGGCCAGACATATGGTCTGACTTTAGGGTTTCGGTTGACGTATGAGCTGACTTTATAGTTTCGTTGAATGATGTTTTCTTGTCCAGACGATGTCGGCAGTCTCCGGACTGTCCGCCCGAACGTTTAGGTAGAAATGGGTCCGGTTGTGGATGATCAGATGCCCACACGTGTCTGAATTTCCTCCCACACCTCCCATCAGCTCGCCGCTGGCCTGAATGTTCCGGATGAGACGATAGATAATACCGCGTCGGTGGTTTCGTTCGACAACGCTTGTGATCAATTCAGAGCCGCAAAAATCATCAGCGTCATAAACATACCACGAAGCCGACGTGAGGCAAAGGAAGAAAAACCCATTGGACGAAACCAGAAGAGGAGAAGTGCAACAAGATTCTTGCAGGGCCACCAGTGACAGACATCTAGCTAGCTGGAGCGGCACACAGATTAATCCCTAGAGGCACCGCCGCCGCCGCTGGTTCTGGATCCAGGACGAGGATGCCGACAGCCATGGTAAAAAAGTTAAAAATCCCCACGGATAGAGATGGATGGGCGGAAAACATTACACACTGAAAAATCGGATCGAGCGGGGCACCAAACCTGCGATTTCAATTCCCAATCTCGACTTCTCCTCTGCCCCTCCCTCCGCCTGTCTCCCCCCCACTGAATTCGCCGTCAATCTCGCCACCTATGCGTAATCCCACGGCCGGTTCCCCCCGTCCCGCCCCTCCCATGGCAGCCGACGTCTCCATCCTTCTGGTCTCCTCACAGCCGCGCGCCCAGTAACACCGCCGATTCTCGCCCCCTTCGTCTTCTCTGTTTCCAGGTGAAAAATCCCTCCTTTTTAAAGATTAGATTCGAAAGCCAGGCTAAATTTGGCCAAGTTTTTGTAGCCGAGTCGCGAGATGCCACCGCTATTAGTTTCTTTTCAGCTGAATTCCAGCTAAAAGTGCCATCCTTTGGCCGAATTGCTTTTCTCTCTAAGTTATTGGGTGCTGATTTCACACCCACGGATTGATAGGATTCTGTTCTTCTCCGCATAATTTTGGAGTCTACCGAGGTTTTGGGGCAGGTTGCGTCCTCCCATGAAAACATCTTCTTTTGTCTAATAAATAAATTTTAGAGGTTTCTCCTTTGTGTGCTACATTTGAATGAATGCTATAAAAGATAGGTATAGTTACTGGTTATTAGTTTGATGGCTCATTTTTTGGAATGCAATTGCAGGGCTAGTAGAGGATCGGTGCTTTGGAGCGAGAGAGTGTTGTCTCACAGGTTTTGAGTTCTCATTTGGCGGGTCGGTGTTTGCTCTTCTCTTGGTTGGCACCAAAGGAAAGGAGGTCTGACAAGATGAACCGTGCAAGAAGAGGAGGGAGATCATTTTCCCTCTGGTTATGTGCAGTGGTTTGTCTCATGGCTCAGCCGGGAGCTTGCAGTGTGGTGCTGATGGCGAATAACACAACCTTGTCTTTCAGTGATGTCGAGGCAACATTTAGTGAGTGCTATAATAAATTAACCAATTCCCCTCTGTTTCAGTACCAATCAATTATCAACTCACTACTATTTCGTTTCGTTGTTACTGTGCATTTGTTTTTATTATCCTGAATCCATAATTCGAGTCATCACTGATGAATGGACTGATTGCTTGTCGTGCGTCCTGGTAGTTAGACTAGTATTTGGCAGTGCTGCTTTTATTACCTCTTGTATGGCAATTTGCACATGCTTTATAATGTTATTACCTCTTGTATGACAATTTCCACATGCTTTATAATGTGCAAAGCTAAGTTAAAGAAGAACTTATTGGTATTTCAACATTTTGCAGCTCCAGAAGTGAAAGGTTCAGGTTTAAACGGTGTAATTTACACCGTCGAACCTCTTGATGCTTGCAGTCCTCTGACAAAGAAAGCAGTCGAAGGGCCTGCATCACCATTTGCGTTGATTTTAAGAGGCGGCTGCCAATTTGATGATAAAGTCAGAAATGCTCAGGATGCCGGATTCAAGGCTGTGATAGTATATGATAACAAAGACCACGGTGTCCTTGTTTCAAGTAATGTTCCTTGACTTCTCCTTTTGGTCCTGACATTATTTGTTTTTCTTTTAGTCTGTATATCTTTAATAACGTGTCGCTCATGATCACCGCATATAAGATGGGTGATTCATGATGCTTTGGTAGCTAAACATTAGAGAGGTCAGAGGAATAACAAGTAGGTATACAAATATCTGATCCTGTATCATGAAATTTAAATGGTTAGACGCACCTGTGACCTTTTTCAGACTACACCTCGCTAAGAAAAAAAGAAGCAGAAATCAATTGTAAACTTGATCTGGCATAAAAATGTTATGACAATTGACATGTGTTTTTTTCAATAGCCTTTTGTTTTCTCCAATATTATCTATTCTGTGCACATATTTTCAACAGTATTTAACTAGGAAGTGTTAACAGTGGCTGGAAGCTCATCCGGTATCGACATATATGCGGTCTTCATCTCTAAGACGTCAGGAGAGGTGTTGAAACTATATTCAGGTCAAAGTGATGCTCAGGTGTGGATAATATCAACGCGTGATAACTCAGCTTTGTCAATCATGGCAATATCTTTCACAGCACTGCTTGCTATGTCTGCTGTTCTGGCCACTTGTTTCTTTGTGAGAAGACACCAGATGAGAAGGGACAGGGCTCGAATACCTGCAGCACGAGAATTTCATGGAATGAGCAGTCAGTTAGTCAAGGCAATGCCGAGTCTTATTTTTACAAAAGTCCAGGAAGACAATTGTACTTCGTCAACATGCGCCATTTGCTTGGAAGACTACAGTGTTGGTGAAAAGATAAGGGTGCTGCCTTGTCGTCACAGTATGTTCTTCTCACATTTAAATATCACAATTATTTTCTAGTTATTGCATAATAGGATCTGATGGTCTGAGATCTCGATGCCTGTGCAATTTATGTACAACCAGATTAATCTGTCTACTAGTCATTGCTGATTTGAAGTTTGGAATTAGAATATACTTGCTGCATTACTACCAGAATAGTAGCAAGAGAATGGTGTCATTGATCAAAACTTACATCATAATCACAATAACTCCACGTAATATCCCTTTGTATGTTTGATACAAACTCAATTGAATATGGTCTTGCTAGATTTCATTTGTTTCCTGGTCGCTTAATGTAGATAAATCTACACTACGAATTCTACACTATAGATCTGAAAATTAAGTATTGCAGTGCTACCGAACCCTCTGTTATGTGAAGCTTTTTTTTTTTCAACCAGTGCACTGATACTTGGCTGTTTCATCTTACAGAGTTCCATGCTGCTTGCGTGGACCTGTGGCTCACATCATGGAGGACATTCTGCCCTGTATGCAAGCGAGATGCAAATGCTGGAATGTCAAATCTCCCTCCATCAGAGTCTACCCCTTTGCTTTCTTCTGCTATTCCCTTACCAGCTGAATTGACAGCTTTGTCTTCTTTTCGTTCAATGGTAGCAGCATCTCCTCCAAGGACAATAAGCCGGCATCCTTCATGGCAGTCCATGTCCCGCACTAACTCCAATTCCAGTATCCTCCACACCCGTAACCCATGCAGATGTTTTTCCAACTCACCTGCTATCAGTACAAGTAGGAGCAGTGTAGACCTTGCAAACATGTCATCGCCATGGTCTAACACTCCGCACCTTGCATCCGCGCACTCCCTGGGTGGAGGGCATTTTTCTCCGCCGATCAGCATCGGATACACATCACCACATGTCTCCCCTTTCGGCTACAGATTCTCTGGACAGTTTATAGGTTCACCCCACATCCCCCGTTCTGAGAACGGGTCTCCAAGTTATTATCCTGGCTCTTCAGGGCAGCAGTACCCTTACCTGAGGCATCGCACAGAGTCAGGGCCAAGCTTATTTACCATGGTGCCCCAGTCGCCACAACAGATCCTGCTGCAGGATGGTGGCGACTCGGCAACGAGTCTATCAGCTTCAGCATCGACCCAGTCGCTCCGTCAGGCCTACCTGCAGCATTGCCCTGATTCTGATGTGAGCTTATCTGCTGCAACATCGGCTCAGTCGCTGCCAGGGTGCTGATTGCCCTTACAGGTTCACCATTGAAGTCCAGTTAGACCTGTTACAATAGAATAAGCTCTCCATGAGGCGTTCAGCGGCGGTCACCATTGTGAAGCGGATTTGAATGAGCAATAGGAAGCTGCCTGGGTAGAGCCGGTGACCTTTAATCTGACCAACTAGCAAGGATTGTCTTGAGGCGTGTGTGCTACTGATGATGCCAGGAGTGTATATTATTGCAGTTTAATAGGGATCTACTGTTAGTTGCAGTCAGAAATGCCTTGTGCTAGTAAGATGACGTATATATTCTGTTCATGAATGCTTCAGAGAAATATATTAATCTTGTTCGTTCTCACTCTGGTTTGAAGGGTTTACCAGTGCCTATGGCGGACCTGTAATCATGTTTATACTGCTTGTATGTTTTTTGTTATTGGTTTTTGGTCTGGCTTTTAGTTATTTGTTCTGGGTCTGGTTTTTGGTTGCCTTCGCATACATAAAGAACGCAATGCAGTACAAAATACAACTAGAGAAGTATATACCGCAGAAGAAGAGGTACACCTAAGACTGTAAAAAGATATAAAATAGAAAAAGAGATTGGGGCAACCGAAGCTTCCCCCGCCTACAGAGATCACTTCCAAGAAGAAGAGCCCGTACTTCAATTAGTAGAGAATTGTTCAAATCCTAGTTGTAATCCTTCTTGAAATCCATGTTGAAATCTTAGATCAAATCGTTGTTGAAAGAAAAACTTTCATTGGTGTGGGGAATGAAGATATCTTCTAGCCATTGATGAACAAGTCCCACATGGATTTCTTGAGGCAGCCAATATGGCGATTCTGACTTTGCACTTTGCCTCGACGGCCTGCACAATGCATATGGAACGCGCCATATGCAAGGCTACTATTATGGCAACTCTACTAGAGTT